ACGTCTGTCTGCACTCTTGTTTGTCTGTCTGTCTGTCTTTCTGTCTGTTTGTACTTCTATCTGTCTGTCTGCTTGTCGTTCTGTCTCTCTGTCTCTCTCTCTCTCTCTTTCTGCAAATCAGGTTGTATCTCTCTCACTCTCTCTCTCTTTCTCTCTCTCTCTCTCTCTCTCTCTCTCTCTCTCTCTGTCTCTCTCTCTCTCGGCTCGGAGCCAACAAAATACAGTCAGGGACGACAAAATGTTGATGTCCACAAGTTAGACCATTAAGATCTACAGATAACCACAAGAAGCAATACTTTTTGCTACTTAAAAGTGATTAGAACAAGAAAGGTCTAAAAGCTATTGCAGTATTTAAGTTGATAAGCGTAAAGGGTACGAGGGAAAAACAAGAAATGTCACTTTTAGCGAAATTAAATTTAATGCTTTTGCTTGGCAGCTCGGATATTTCCATAGAAAAGCTAATTTTTCCAAATCTGATATAAGGTTTTAGCCTTGGATACTTAGATGGAACGGAAGAGGTGCGTAAACACTTTCCATTCAACTTTACAACTCAAATTAGCCCATACCTGGCATGTGTTTTCCTCTTGAACCATTCATGCTTTTGTCGCTTTCTTTCTACCAACTTTTTAGTACACCGCAGCCCTAGCAAAAAAAAATGAAGGGTACATTTAATTTAATATTTAGTATTTTACATTAGAAAACACAGTTGTTCATGATTCTGTTAAAGAATATGACTCAGCAACTGGAATTAATATGTTTGTTTTCTTTGTCTAAATCAGATATCAGAACAACTAGAGATAGGTAGTTCAAAAATCATACAGCTTGGCGTAGTAAGAAAAGTGAGGGTAGAAAATCGCCAACAAGCTGTTCAATTCTACTATGCTCAGAAAGCAACAGGTTTGTTTGTTTTTTCAGATGAGAGGGAAAAAATATATTATCATTTTTTAAAACAAATATTCCAGCATTTTGTATGTCTTTTGCTTTGTTCAACATCTAGAATTATGATTGAATCTAGACAAAATATTTACAGAAGGGGGAGGTTGGAGGGGGGGGGGGGCTCACGTCGCATAGAGGCTAAGGTGTTCGCCTCTCTTTCAATAGATCCCGGGTTCTAATCCGGATTGCAACGGACATTTTTCTTCTCTAAAATTGTCTCATTCCAACTTCTTGTTTGCTTTCTAGCATGCTCTGTCGTCTGCTTTTGTCTCCACTTCCTTCCCCCACCCCTTCACCTCCTTTGCCCCTCCCGTGGGCTCGTGACTCTTTGTGCAGCGTTTCTACTGCTACACTCTGGCTCCTTCTTATTACTGTCTTTCAGCCACACCTCTGATCTTGGTAGGAAGATCTACACCTAGCCTTCTCGACCTAAAGCGAAAAATCTCGGAGGTCCTGTGTGCACGCTGCGCACGTTAAAGATCCTTTTGTGGTTCAAAAATCGATAAGAGTAGGCGTCGGCCGCCACTCAGGCAAATTCAAAATTTCCTACCAACTGAAAAGAATGTTTAATGTTTCCCTCGTGCTCATATGACCTTATGCAGTTGCGAGCGCCGTATAACACTAACCAAAAAAAAAAAGAAAGCCTGCTTTGAAAATCACGGTATCTGTGGTACGCTTACTGAAAAGGAAATCTCAGTTGGATGTTTTGATTGGTCTGGTCGAAGTTCAATGGAAAGTCTAAATTGGGCGCATACGTGCTCTCAAACGACTTGGTGTCTTTTCGTTCTGAGAACTCAAGTGTTCACGAATCGACATAGCATCACCCTCACTGTCGTTCCACCCCCTCCCCCGCCCCCATTCTCTCCCACTCTACCTCTCCCC